AACCGTATCACTGAAATCCAGAAATATTCAAGCGCGGATCAATGGAGATACGTCTCCACGAAGGACAATCCGGCGGATCTTTTGAGCCGAGGAACACCCCTCGACGCCGCCGAGATCCGTAGATTTTGGACCCATGGTCCTCATTGGCTATCAGAGAAGGTGCTCCCAAAGCCGGCGAAGATCGGAAAAGCAGACTTTGCAGAAGCAATCCAAGAAGCGAGAAAGTCGAGCGATAGCTGTGAATCCACGGTCACTCTGGCGACATCCACGTCGAAACCCGAGCCGACACACATCCTCGAAGAGAAACACTTCTCGACTTGGACGAAGGCTGTTAGAACCATCGCCACTGTCCTAAGGTTCTCGAAACGCTGGAGAGCGGCGAGAAACGTTCAAGCTGGGAGCCCGATCGATGCTTCGGAGTTCAGAATGGCCGAAACGGCGCTTCTGAAATATATACAGGGAATCAGCTTCCCCACGGAAGTTCTCGCGAAGTGCCAGAAATTACAGAAATCCAGCAAGATATACCTATTCAACCCTATGCTCGACGAAGATGGGATCATACGTTGCAGATCGCGTTTGGAAAAATCCGGCGACCTGTCTTTCGGGGAGAAATTCCCAATACTCTTAGACGGGAGAAACCATTTCGTTCGCCTGCTAATAGCCTGGATTCACGAGACTAAGTGCAAACATGCTCAAGGCATTTCCACGAACCTACATCACGTTCGAACTGAGTTTCTCATCCTTAGAGCCAGGAGCTCAATTAACAAAGTCCTCAGAGGCTGTAAAGTATGTGCGAGGTTCCGAGCGAAGGCAGGCGCGGAGGTGACACCCCCCTTGCCGGCTTTCCGCATTGAGGAAACCCCGCCATTCAGTGTTACCGGCATCGACTTTGCGGGGCCTATCACAGTGAGAGACAATCAAGGCAATAAATTCAAGAGCTACATAGCTCTATTCGTGTGCCCAGTCTCCAGAGCCATTCACCTCGAGTTGACGCCCGATCTCACAACATTCGAATTCCTCTTAGTCCTGCGGAAATTCATCAGTAGGTTCCCTTCAGTGACGAGGATAATGTCAGATAACGCGGCGACCTTCAAGCGCGCGGAGAAAGAGTTAGAGATGGCATACCGAAACGCAGCAGAACCGGAGATCCAACACTACCTGGCGAAAGCGAAAATCGAGTGGGAGTTTATTACCGACAGAGCCCCAGTACAGGGTGCTTTCTGGGAAAGGATGGTTCAGCTCGTCAAGAAACCTCTCAGGAAAGTTCTGGGCACCAATGTTCCCCGATTCAGGGAGCTCGAATCAATTCTCGCGGAGATAGAACTCTGCATAAACCTGCGGCCGATTTCGGCACTGCCATCCGAGTTTTGCGACATCCGAGCTTTATGCCCTATGGACTTAGTCTATGGCTACCACGCAAAAGCACGCTTTCCCGACTCCTCAAAGATGAGGATGCCGGATCAAGGGGCCGCACAAGCGATAATTCTCACCAAAGCTTGGAGACGTCAACAGACCGTGTTGAACGCGTTCTGGAAAAGATTTCAATCCGAGTATTTACAACAACTTAGATCAGCTCATGAGAGTAAGCCAGGGGAGACCCGTTCGCTCAGGGTCGGAGATGTTTGTATCCTTGCGGATCCGAGCCCTTCGAGAAGCTTCTGGCCTCTCTGTAAAATCGTCGACGTGTTCGGTGGGCAAAGAACCGATCTACGACAGAGATCTTGCATGATCCAATTCGGTAACGGAAAAATCGTCAAACGACCGATATCCATGATTTACCCGCTGGGTTTCAGTGAAAACTAAGAGGATGGAGTTCGCGCTTAGCGACCGCAGGCGATAGTTCGGCGGCATCGATCATTTATTCACGGGGCCCCCCGAAATTCGGGCGGCGTTGCAAACGACGGATATGGGCTCTTTTTAGTTTACGAGTTTTTTCCCTATAGAAATCTTGTTCACGCGGCGTTAGTTGAATCCACAGGGGATACACGAAATCATGCAGCGCCTTCCCGGTGGATCGGCGGGCCCAGGGAATACGTTTCTGTATCTCTTCCTTGAAGAAATCCAGAGGAGACCATGGTCCTCGGTGATTCAGCGGCCTTCTCACGCTCACGAGTCGGCGCGGATCGGGACAGGTTTCCCATACCCTTCGAGGCGGAGGCTGGGGATACGAGACCCAAACACCGGAGGCACCGGGAATTGCTACATCTTCAGACCCTTGCCTGGGTGCTCCATCTCTTGGCGAGCGCTCGGACGGGTCCCGCGATCCCTCGGCTAGATTCCTTTCTGGAGTAGAACGGGGCGATGGCATGGTTCGCACACCGGCCAGGAGAGCCGAACGCAGTAAATCGTCGAAACGAGTCTCGGGTCGCGAACTTTGATTGGCCGACATCGTCTACAAAAATCGGTGGTATGATAAAAAATGAAATTAAGAGCGAAAACCTCACCGGAAGGTAAAACGGAAAATATAATCTATCATAAGAGCACACTCGTCATACCGGTCAAGTCGTCTTTAGTCGTTGCAACTTCTCGGGGATTCTCCGCGGTGTGCACTCGTCGACTGGAGGCGAACGAATGAGACACAACGGAAAATGGGACAGCCCCTCGAACGCGAAGAAAAATCTCGTCCGGTCGAAATGTGTCGAATTAAAGTCAGAGAACTAGTTTAGAGGTCGGAAATGTCGACGCACCAAGTCACCATACACCTCATAGGCGATTCTCTACAGTCCGAAAAAGAGCCAATGTCCGTTCCGGAGTCAAAGCAGTGTCACTTCGTTTCAGCCATTAGACAGATGTGCATGAGTAGGGAACCCGCATGCTCTAGGCAATCGTGAAAGCAAATATTCTTTTGGATGCTAACTAACTTCCAAGCCGCCCAAAGAGCTTATAGTTCACTTCATGTAGTGTTCATCATTGGTCATCGCTTTAGAGAAACCTCTGGAACTCGAGCACTGCGTGCGCGGAGTTCCCGGGGGAGAGTGTCGCAGACACCTTCAGTGTATGCGCTAGTTACAGAGGAGGCCGCCAGGCGGCGTTCCGTCGACCCTACTGTCAATAGTCAATGACGTCAGCCGCACAGTCGGTCTCCATAATTTAGAGTAGTTCGGTAATCCGAAAGTGATACCTCTGTAAGCCCTTGAGGCAATCATTCATACAATCGATCATGAAATATAATAAAGAGAATGGGCTTGGGTCACATGGAGCTGGCAATGCGTCGCGCGTCGGTCGGCGCGTCTCTCCCGCAAACATCGTGTGCACGTCGAGACGTGCCGATTGGGGCGCGTGACCTCACTCATCCGAGGGGCTACGCTGAGACAGGAACTAACCGTCCCCGGCTAACCGCACAAGCGAGCTCGAGGAGCAGACCAGGTCAATCTTGACAAAAGTTGCCCAGTGACTCAGTCCACAAACCAAGTGAAGGATTGTTTTCATTGAAGTACGCAACAAGCGGCTCTCCAGGAGAAAAAGGTTTGAACGAAGTCCTTCGACGGCATGAGAGAGTTTTCTCGAAGGATCAGTTTGATGTAGGAATGGTCGATCACGAACACCGGATCCCCACGATCGATGATGTCGCTGTCTACAAGAGGGAGTATCGTGTGCCAGCAAATCTTGAGCAACGCGCTTTCGAAATGTTGGAGGCTATGAAACGGAAAGGTCTAATTGAGAACTGTGAATCTCCGTGGGCAGCTCCTGCAATTTTCCTGGAGAAGGGAAATGGTCTACTGAGGATGGTGGTGAATTACCAGGCCTTGAACGAGAAAACCATTTTCGACCCCTTCCCGATCCCAGACATGTACGGGATCGTGAGGAAAGCATCCAAGGGATATTTGTTCTCCACGTTGGATGCTAGAAACTCCTTCTGGCACATAAAGTTGAGGGAAGAAGATCAGCTCAAGACAGCCTTCGTCAGCATGGGTCGACAGTACAAATTCCGTGTTATGCCAATGGGTCTGAAGGGTGCACCGGCCGCCCTGACGAGAGCGTTTACGAGTACTCTGAAGGATGAAATCAGGGCAGAAAACGTTTTCGTCTTTTATGATGATATTGTCCTTTGCACGAACAATGTGGAGGATCAGAGGACGGCCCACCTCGAGCTTCTGGAACGTGTCCTTCGAAGATTGGCGGATGCGGGATGGAAACTGAATCGGGAGAAACGCAAGTACCTCGAGGATGAAGTACAGGTTCTGGGTCACCGAATAAAACATGGAGAGATCACCATCACACCGGCTTATCGAACGGAAATGCAAGGATGGCCGGAACCGACCACAAAGAAGGAACTACAAAAGTTCCTGGGATTCGCTGGTTTTCATGCGAAATTTATCCACAATTACAGTACGATTGCAGCCCCCCTGACCGAAATGACGGGTAATGGTGTCTTCAAATTCGGGGAAACTGAGAGGAGGGCCTTCCAAGAGCTCAAAAGACTTCTCACATCTGCACCGGTTTTAGGGGAGTATGATCCGGGACGGCAGCTGACGTTGGTGACGGATGCGAGCGATAGCGGATGGGGTGCAGTCCTGGAACAGGATGGCCACCCGGTGGAATTCTGCTTGGGAAAATGGAGCCCAACAGAGAAAAGATACTCGACAACTGAGAAAGAGCTGAGAGGAGTCCTCAATGGCATAAAGCGCTTCTCCTATTTCCTATCGGGAACTCATTTTGTCCTGGTCACCGATCATAAATCGCTTTTGAGCGGGATGAAGGAGAGATGCGAGGATGGAGAACTCTATCGCTGGGCAAGAAAGTTGGATCCCTATTCCTTTTCTATTGTTCATCGTATGGGGAGCCAAATCGGACGCGCCGACGCCTTGAGTCGAAAACCGTCGGAGGGAAGTCAACGAAGATTGACGGAAATCAATGATTTCGAGGAAGCAACTATTCAGGACCCTGTGCTGAACTTTTTTGAGAGAACACTGAATGGAGCAACAGTCGATAAACCGACAGCTGAATGGAGCGCCGAAATGGACTTTGACGAGCAACAGCGGCAAAGAGGAAACCTCTCTCTGAGTCAAGGTGGGTTGTGTCTGTTTATAAATGGCGAGAGCTAGATCCTAGTGCCTGGAAGTATGCGAAAGCGGATATTTGGCTTCGCACACTCACATGAGCTGGCGGGACATATGGGCCTGGAAAGAACCCGTCAACGGATTAGAGAAAAATTCTTTTGGTTCAAGAGTTCTCAAGATATCAAGCGATGGAAGGCCGAATGCCTGGTCTGCGCCAGTCATGATGTGAAACGTCGAGCGCCGGGAGTATCACGTCACGCAATACCTATCCGAGGATTTCCGCTGTCGCAGTGGGCCATGGACGTGCTGGGGCCGCTTCCAAAATCCGGGAAAAATAACCAGTTCATTCTCGTCCTCACCGATAGGTTCACCAAGTGGGTCGAGCTTTACGCGCTCCCTGATCAGAAGACCGAGAGGATAGTGACTTGTCTAATCGACTTAGTGTGTCGATACTCGATTCCCTCGGAGCTACTGAGTGACAATGGAACAAACTTCAGCAGCCGTTGTTTCAGGGCGCTCCTGGATGCTCTCCGGATTAAACAACCTCGAACCTCGCCCTATCACCCAGAGGGAGATGGACAGACGGAACGCTTCAATGCAACAATGATGCAGGCCCTGCGGAAGTACGTGCAAGAGGACCCAGAGAAGTGGGATGAAAAACTCCAAAACGTAGCCTTCAGCTACCGGACATCACGACACTCAGTGACGGGATATACACCGTACCAACTCGTTTTTGGAAGGAAACCGAGGGAGCCAATTCACCTTTTTGCCGCAACAGACGGTGAAGTCGCGATAAAACCCATGGAGAACTTCAGGAAAGCTGAACAGTGGAGGAGAAAAGCTCTGGAAAAACTGCAAGCGGAGCAGGATGCTCGAACTGAAAACGTTGAATCCCCGTATGAAAGGGGAGATATTGTTATGATAAAGAACTTCCACACCAAAAGCAAGCTGTCACCAAAGTACCGCGGGCCGTTTCCCTTGCTTGAAAACAGGAATCCGTACTACGTACTCGACATGGACGGAAAGCCAAAAATCGCTCATGGAAATCATCTAAGGATCTTCCTAGAGCGAACCGATGACATGGATACACTCGATGTCTCGCCACAAAGCCAGGTCACGGCTGCAGACCTTCGATGGACGATGGAATCGATGGACGATGGAATCGATGGACGATGGAATCGATGGACGATGGAATCGATGGACGATGGAATCGATGACGATGGAATCGATGGACGATGGAATCGATGGACGATGGAATCGATGGACGATGGAATCGATGGACGATGGAATCGATGGACGATGGAATCGATGGACGATGGAATCGATGGAACAACGACGCCGCTCGCGCGGGAGGCGGTGTGGGTTCGATCCCTGCTGCCGGAAAAACACGAAGGGAAAAAATTTTTTTTTGGTTTACGAGTAGCCACTCCTCCAGCCGAGATGTGATGGTGCCTCTATAGCCGTCGACCTGGTCGAGTGAATCTCTCCTGTCGGCATCATCGTTGTAAAACGAGGTCGCTTCGTTGATGTAGAAATTCACTCGGGTTCTCAGGATATCGACCTCAGAGATCGCGGGCTGTGTTTGTTCTGTCGGTGGAGCGATGGCGTTCAGGGGATTCTGGGGACCTGCCCCGGTTTCCGGTTCGGAAGGAAATTCGGGGCGTTCTGGTCGTTCGGGATCGCTATCTGGCTCTAGTGTTCTCCCTCGCACCGCAGCCTGAGAACTCTGAGCTCGACTTACTTCCGATTGAGGTGAGGATTCAGCCGAGGTGACTGCAGTTCGAGTCTGAGTCACCATGTTGA